AAAAGAAACTAATAATGTAACTCTAGACGTCTGCATTTGTTTCCTTAGCTACATAACACTGCACAAACAATTTGGTTGCAATTTTGAGACAGTGGCTTCACAGTTATTTGATTAAACTATAGTGCCTTTTCATAGCAGGAGATGGGCTGATAACACTTCGAGGCTTTGGCTAGCGCCACAATTTAAAATTATAACTTAGCCTGCATGTCATGATATTTTTAGCTGATTCCTCCCACTTCTAATTCATTTCCATAGATTATTCTCATAACATTTTCCTCATGATCACAGAGACTTATTTTTCAAGTAACTTCATACACAGCTTTTCCGAGGCCAAAAAAGTAAAGAAGAAACTGTCAATTTTAGCTTTTGTGAAAGTGGGGCGTCAGCAGTAAGGGTGCCTTTAAATTATTGACAAGAAATAAGCAGTGTGTTTCAGTGCATCTGCCTGTTCTGCTCCCCACTCTGTCTCTAGTGAATCCTCTCACCCCCTGCACCTCTGGCCTGCACCCCTGTTCTATGCATAAATAAATAAAATAGACAAAAATAAGTCTCTAAAAAAATATGTCCACCAACCACGAGCTTTCTTTAAATGCTACCATCCTTCCCAGTTCCCCAGCACCCTAGATTTAGTGACCTAACCTTGGGGGTGAAAGGGACAGGGGCGGAGCTGTGACACAGTCAAAGCAGGCAGGCATGCAAGAAAGCTGGAAAATGCTGATGAATCATGTTGTATTCTGAAAGAGTGAGGTCATGCATTTTTTCCCATGCTTAGTTATCTCCCTTTTTACTATGGACTGCATCATCTATTTTATTTGGGCTTATTTTGTTTGGGTGTCAGGGATATTTGCTTCTGTGGACACGCTCCCCCCTTAGAAACCAACATTTCATCTATAAACACAAGACACTGGGGCCTTTGAAGCAGGTACCCCCACCCTCCTCAGCTGTTGCCCTTGCTCTTAAGAGAACTTTTATTTTTCTCTCCAGCTCTCAGCCCAGATTCTATTTTCTCTTGCCAGTGTGACATCGTGGCCTTTCTTATGAAGGATTTGCCAGTTGCGCTGAACTCACCAAGTCCTAGCGAAGTATTTTATATATATATTTAATTTATGTTCTACTGAACGGGAGGAAATTACTTTTGCCAAATGGGTCACCCCGAAGAGCAGGCAGCTTGATCTAAGCCAGGTTATATATAAAGTGTGTGTATGTGTGTGCTGATATTAAGAAACATTCATAAATTAGAAGCTCTGTTTACTGCTGCTATTTTCAGCTTTAGACATAAAATAGGAGCAAAGCAAAACAAAACGATTTAGTCAATAAAAATCAGAAGTTTCTCTGTATTATCCACAAGTCTGCTACTTTTTTAAAAACTTGCAGAACACTTAGGATTTTTCTTTATTGTAATTTGGGGATAAGAAAGAGGAACAAAATGAATAAAATAAATGTAACCATAATTATCTGTTCCTGAAGAGAAATCCAGATCACAGGTTCTGCTAATATTCACTAAATGTTAATATCATGAACTCCACATATTCATGTGATGTCTAATATTGTTTTTTTTTTGGGGGGGGGTGCATTTTTAGTATCTGCTTATTTCTATAACTTAAAAGAGATCAAAAAGCTTGTGATGACAGTTGCACCTCAATATACAATGTGTGATATCTTCCTTCAATTTTGAAATGCTTCCTCTTTGCCATGTAGCAGGGCAAAGCCCGACAAACACCTCCATCATCATAAATAATCCTAAAGGTGAAAAGCTTCACTAATAATTGAGAAAACACTATCATCCCTGTGATTATAAATTTATCTGGAAGAATGGATTCAGATAAGTGATTAACACAGTAAATTGACATTTGAAATTTGCTCTCAAAATAAATTATACAGAAATTGCAACATGAAAACGATCATTGAGACACAACTTTAATAAGTTCTAATTGCCATTTTGTCCTGGGAATGTGCCCACATTCGCCCAGGGCCATATCCCAGCTTTCCCTGTTGGCTTGAACCTGCAGAAGGCTCAGCTCTATGGATTGCGTCATTGAGTTATGTTGCCCTCTGGCTCCCGACAAGTTGACGAAGCGGAAGCACTGGTAGTAAACAAAATTGGAGGAGGAGAGTGTGACTTGTGTCTGTTTCACCTCAACTGTCCTCAACTGGCCCCAGGTCGAGGATGTCACTCTTTCAAAGGCCACAGCAATTTCCCGACAGTCCTATCCATGCTCCTACTTTCTTCACGTTCCTGCAACCCACCTACGTCAGCTGTAGTGCTGTAACAGCGCCCCGAAACTGCTGACCCCAGATACGTTAATTTCCCACCCACTTGTGGGCTTCTCTGAGCCCTGCCCACACCACTTGTTAAAGAAAAGAGAACCTTTATTAAAAATGATTGAATGTCATTGGAAAAACTGATCTATTCCTGTTAAAACACTAAGCTGACACGTGTGCAATATTAGAATGAAGTTCAAACAAACTTCGTAAAGAATTCTAAACAAACAAAAAGGACAAACTTTGCATGAGATCCAATTTATGTTTTCTATATTTTCTTTTTTTTTTTTCTTAAAGATTTATTTATATTTATTTATGCATACAAGAACTAGGGTATCGGCCAAAGATGCAAGGGTGAGAGGATTCACCAGAGACAGAGTGGGGAACAGAACAGGTAGATTGACCGAACTACACTGCTGAGGGGAGCAGGGGGCGGGACAGGAGAGGTCTGCTCTACCTTGTGTGTCAGCTCCCTGGCTGGGGATCGAACTCAGGCGGCAACTGCTGATGATAGCTTGATAGTGCTGAGACTTTAACCCTTGGGCCACAAGGGAGGCCCTTTGTTCCCCATATATTTTCAAAAACTTAGATATAATAATCAAAAATAATCTGTATTTGAAAATGAAAACAGGAATGTTCCGATGGAAACACATTTGTAATTGTTAGAATCACTATGATAGTTCAAGAAGCAGATTTTATTGCTTTTTTTTAAAATTAAATTCCCATGGATTAGAGTTGCAAAAGCAGTGGCATTAAAATATCTCCAAAACACTTAAATTGATTTGCTCTATTTTAGCCTTTCAGTCAAGTTTCTGCTTTACATGGTGGGAAAAACATGTTTCCTTTATTGCTACAATGCAAGAGGTTAGCTCATATTAGATTTCATAAGTATGTATTGAATTATTAAAGAAATCAGAACATTGCATTTTTGATATAACTGAAAGGGAAGGTCCGCCTGCAAGTTTAGAGTCTGGTAACTACTTTAAATGCTATGATGTGTTTTAAATTAAATTGTATCCTATATATAAATAAGTGTATAATTATTATTCCATTAATAACAGACAAAAATAATTTTACTATCTTGATAAGGGCATTCGGTTTAGTACCCACAGTTCGATTTCTAGAATAGAATAAACTTTGCACTTAGAAATGTTCAACAAGTAGTCTAACCTAATCATCATATTTTAGAACTTGAAAATTGAGAGCATACAACATAAATGAATCATTTATAGATACACAAGTGATTTAAAATTTACATACTTTGCATTTTTAAAGGGAAATATGAGCTTTTGGATTTTGAGAAATGATCCTCTAGGGAATTCCAGGGGTGCAGGGACAGAACACTCAATATGTCCTGAAAAGTAGGTATCACTCAGCTAAAAGGACTTTGAAGTCTGTGAAATCTATCCTCACGAGGACCCAGGGACTTGCTTTGCTCCTCACTTCTCAGGGTTCATGCAGCACTGGCTGATCACTGACTGATCCTGGCTGGATCCCCCAAGACTTTAAAGGTTGACTGATTCCCAGTGGACTTCTTTGAAATAAACTGGGGGTTTCAAGATGAGGTGGAATTAAGAAGATTGCAAAAATAATACATTCAGAGGTAAGAGAAAGGCTTACTTTCTACTGTTCGTTCTATTTCTCCTCTTCTTTTTTCTCCTTTTCTTTTATAGTTGCCTAATTTCTGTCTCCCCCCACACAACCGACCTCTCTCAGTTCCTCTCCTTTTCTCCTCCCACTGCTGTTACTTCATCAGTACCTTCTCAGAGCAGACATTCTCCTCCCAAGGATAATGTTGGCTGCATCAATACCTCTAGCTGATAAACTGATGAACACAATTTATTTCAGCTACCTTCTGTTGAAGGTCAAACAATTTTCTTAGGCATAACTTGTAGTTACTGACTTGAATAACCCTAAAATCTAGACAGAGACTTCTTCAGTTTCTGTAACTAGGGTTAGATGTGCTCACATCTACCTGAGGGAATCGGTACATCATCAAGTAGGCAATATTTGAGACAAACCATAATGAACCACAATAGAGAAGAGATCTTAGATGAAGAATAGGTAGGATGGAGGAGAACCAGGCCACCAAATTAACTCCAGGCCACCAAATTAACAAATCATTAGTCTGTAATAAATCATTAAAATGATTTTAAATATGGAAGTGACATATTTGTAGATGTAGCATAAACAATCCAAACTGGCCAGAATCAAATGAAAAAAATAATATATCAAAAAGAAACAGAAGCAGATGGAGCATGGGACATTCTGGGATTTTGTTTTTGGTACTGCCAAAGTCAGTTATGTCCAACGCTTTGAGAGCCATACATTTTGCTAGCTTTATTGGTGTCTGACTTGAACCCAAATCAAACTAATAGGCAAAGGTCATTAAACTTTTGTTTAGACTGGCAGGACTCAAAATAAAACAAAGCAAATTTAAGGTCAGAATTTAAACCTCCTACATGCACCTGCCTGGTGGTGCAGGAGTTAAGTCTCAACACTCTCAAACTATCCCAGCCACTGCAGCATGAGTTCCATCCCCACCCCACCAAACCCCCCAGTTCTGTATGAATGCACGCATATAAATAAATCTTTTAAAAAAATAAATCTCCTACAACGAAAATACACAAAGAAAGAAGACATTTTCTTAGTAACTAGGGAGATAATTAGATTGTGTTCACCTTTCATTCATTCACTCTTTTCTAACAAATATCAGTTATCTACTTTAACCAGCCTACCTCAGGGCAGGAAAGAATATCCCTTTCTCTCACTCTAGGGAAATCTAGATCTTGTGGTGGAAGCTCAAACTTTTCTTCATACCCAAGTGATTATATTTCATCATGCTTTGAAGTAGTCTGAATAGCATCTGAAAAACAATACATCTAAACCATGTCAGGTTATCTGTCCTTTTTACATTTCCCTTATATACTAAATAGAATCATTGTATTTTCATATATAGTATTTATTAATCTATATAACATTGTACTAGGAGAACATGTTTATGAGTAATACTTGCAAGAAAATTATTTCTTATTATTTATGTTTAGAAATTTTAATAAACTTCTGTTTTTAGCCATTGCCAAATGTTTCTCGTCCTCTCAAAAAGTAAAGCTGTTCCTTCTACTTCTAACTTAACTCGTGGAATCAGTTTTCCTAAGCGAAAATTAACATTTTTCCATAAGTCATATACTGAAGATATATATTAATATGTTGAATTCCATGCCTCACCTACTGGGCAAAATGTTATGAATTATTTTTGAAGCGGAAAAAAATGGTGAAAAGGAGCTGATGACCATTGTCTTAAATATCAGTTTCTTAGCATCAAGGGCTACACCTGGAAACTGTTTATCATAGCCAAAAAGGCAGGGCCTCCTTGGGATGTGTTTCATCAGAATGACTAATACAAAGTCATTTTTTTTCATAAATCTGCCATTATCCCACCATCTGTTATTTGCATTTTTCCAGAGAGTTAATAAAATACTGATGGAATGTTTTGACCCAACTGCTGTTAAATTCACATGGTCTACTCTTTTAGTTCCCAAGATGACATTCAGCCTTCCTATAGTGAAGTATTGCATCAGAATATCTTCTGCAATGGAAATTCCAGGTGAGACATCTAGAGGCAGAAGGACGAACTGCTTAAAAATTAAACCCTCATTAGCTGTGTTTTGTTGCAAATCAATGTTAAAAAATATCCTAATATGGGCCTCCCTGGTGGCGCAGCGGTTGAGCGCTGGGTTGTGAAGCTGCCCGCAGCCTCTGCAGTGCCAGTTCGATCCCCGGCTGCATCCCCAGCCACCGGAGGAGGGTCCCACATGGCGCGCAGACCTCTCCTGCCTCTCCTGCCGCCCGCTGCTCCCCTCAGCAGTGTGCTTTGGTCCTTCTGCCTGCTCTGCTCCCCGCTCTGTCTCTGGTGAATTCTCTCACCCTTCCGTGCTTCTGACTGTACCCAGAGCTTGTATAAACAAATAAATAAATCTTAAAAAAAAATCCTAATAGGGGCCTCCAAAGGCGGTTGAGCACAGCACTGTGAAGCTGTCCACAGCCTCTGCAGCAGCACAGGTTCGATCCTGGCCAGCCAGGGAGATACCCACATGGCGCAGCAGACCTTTCCTGACTTGCCTGCTGCTCCTCTCAGCAGTGGATTTCAGTTAATACAATCCACCTGTTCTGCTCCCCACTCTCTCTCTGGTGAATCCTCTCATCCCCCAGCTCTGGCCTGTACCCCAGTTCTGCTTTGTATGAATAAATAAATCTTTTTTTTAAAAAAAGATATATTCTAATAACCTGTGCCCCGTCACTGAAATTCCTTACCTGATTGAAATGTCGGTATGCTAGACCTGTGAGTTGAAAGGTGTTCCTGGATTTGTCATGATTTGCTAGACTGATTTGTGTGGTTTGGATACTTTCAACACCCAAGAAGATGTGTATGTGATTCAATAAAAACATGTTCTTATAGCATATTCATTATATCTGGACATAAACACAGGTACTTCCTGCAAGACAAAGTGGACATCTAACATTTAGAAATAACATCATTGATCCTACTATGTATGAGACCCTTTGCTACACACTGTGAATGCAGTAGTGAAAGGACAGAGCTACTTCACGGCACTTAAAGTCTAGTGTGGAGAGATGAAGACTATGAAAAGCAGCAACAAAAACCTGTTAATTACAAAGTGCAGTAACCACTATAAAAGAAAGCAGAGCAGGAACTCATGGGCCAGAGACGGTCATTAGCATAGCTGACTTTGGAAGTCATCTAGCTGTCAAACACAATAGTAGAGTCCACTGATGTAGCTTCAATGATCTCTGAAACATAACTTAAAATTTTTGCAGGTCCCAGGTCTTGGAAATGCCATCTCTTCCCCAGTGGGCCCAATGTGGTCCCAGACTCTTACCAGCCAGCAACCTTTGAGCTGCAACTTGGTTCCTGCTCTAGTGTCCCATTGGGTGGACTCAATCAACAAACATGCAGTCACTTTCTGCTATCTCCACCATTGCTATTTTTTTTTTTAATAGAGGCATGTTTTATTTATTTATTTATTTGTTTGCTTGTTTGTTTTGTTTATACATGCACACTGGGTACAGTCAAAAGCGCGGGAGGGTGAGAGAATTCACCAGAGCCAGAGCAGGGAGCAGAGCAGGCAGAAGGACCAAAGCACACTGCTGAGGGGAGCAGCGGGCGGCAGGAGAGGTCTGCGCGCCATGTGGGACCCTCCTCCCGTGGCCAGGGAGCATCCAGGGATCGAACCGGTGCCGCAGAGGCTGCAGGCAGCTTCGCAACCCAGCATTCAACCGCTGCGCCACGGGAGAGGCCTGAGCATTGCTATTTTTTGCCTTAGGTACCTGAGGAGTGATCTATTTAAATCCTTTTTTTTCCTCCATTAAATTATTTTTTATTTGTCCTAATTCTAAAAAATCTGGGTATATGTGTGTGGTAGAAGGCTTTTCTTACCAATTTTTACTCCAAATTAGGGATCAGAATCAGTCCAGAGAGCTTTTGTAGCTCATGCTGGAGTCTTTAGTGCAGTTTTATTCTTCACAAAATCAAGGTTGTCAGAAGTCCTGAAAACACAGGGTCATGAACAAAGAAATATGCAAGGACCCATGTTTCTATGCACCATTCTATCATCATTCTAAGCACCAAATACATGTCTGAGTTATAGAGATTGGCTCAATAAAATGTTTTTTTTTTTTATTTTTTTGCTCATTGGATGTTAAAAAAAATTGCTGTGTGATGTCTCTGTATGTATATTTTACCAAAAACTTATTTCAATTTCATAATAAAACAATGTGTAATTTGAAGAAGAAAGGTTTTGGTTTTCTAGGGAAAAATTATATTTAGGGATTCTGAGATGACTTAATCTACCAGATTATTTTTTCGCAAAATCTAAGACATAATGAGTCTATGGCTCCACAAGAATGTTATGAATTTGTAACAAAGAGTTTAAATCACACATCATGGTTTTTGCAACAGTGCAAGGAAACACAAAAGCTTTCTAACAGTTTCCATACAAACTGAGTTTTTTTTTTAAGATTTATTTATTTATTTATTTATTTATTTATTTATACACGAACTGGGGTACAGGCCAGATGCATGGGAGGGTGAGAGGATTCGCCAGAGACAGAGCGGGGAACAGAACAGGCAGAGTGATGAAATACACTGCTGATGGGAGCAGCGGGCACGACAGGAGAGGTCTGCCACGCCTTGTGGGACAAACTGAGTTTTTAATACATAAAAAGCACCCGGCTAAATATGAGAGGGGTGCTTAGATGAAATTCAAGACTTACTCTGAGTGAGTTAGCACTGTCTCCAAAGATAGGGCAAGCATAGGTGAACATGGATGGGTTTTAGGGGAGAATGAGGGTGGGGGACAGGTTCCACATGGTAAAGGAAAGAAATCAGAAAATATTTCCTGGAAGAAATAAAGACAAAATGAGATTGTGTAAAGTTTGAAGGCACAGAATTCAAAATGACAATAATGATAGTAAATAGAAAAATGCAAACAGCCAAAAAAATAAGAAATATTTAGGAAGATATTACATTTATAAAAAAAAAATAATCCTATGAAGACCATGTGATTTAACCTCACAGTGAGATTCAGAGAAGATACAGTCTCCTCATTCTAGGCACAAACACAACCTTAGTCCCCAGCATCTATATAACTAGCCTACTGAGACGTAGCTGGGAGTGGAGGCGTCAAGATTTCAATTCAAAAATACCTCAGTTGGGAGCTGGAGCATTCAGCTCTGCCTCATGTCCTTGTCTTCGTGGGCAGCTTCCTCCTCTGTGTCCCTACACTCACCACATTCTGGTCCAGGCTCTCTCAAGCAAGGAACTGGCCTGACTTGCTCCACCCTGCGACTAACACTCCAGCAGCACTTCTGCTAATGCTGACAATGCGGACAAATTGGAGGTGACCCAACAGGACTGTCCCATTCAACCACAGAGCCGAGAAGATGTCCCAGAGTCTTTGGAGGCCGTGGCTGGTGGGAAATGTCTGCTCCAGTGACAGCCCCTAGACTTCTTGATCCCTTAACCTACAGTTATGAAATATTTCTTTCACTCCAAGTGAGACAAAGAAGGGATTGGCTAGAGTTGAACGTTCCACTAAATGATACTGAGCCCAATAGTTTCAAAGACTTAAGTAGAAGAAATCACTAGAAAAAAAAACTCACTGTACTGTCTACAGTGCTGAAATTTGTCTTAGAGCAAGAATTCCATTAAAAGTGTGATGTCCCAAAGTTCAGCCCAGAGATTCTTGGCACTCATCATAATACCCTTCAAGAGTATAGAGGTGATAAATTGTGACTGTGATCATGTAGATTTTTTTTGGGGGGGGGAATTTTATTTTAAGGAATATCCTTGAAATAATCTTGTACTGTTATATACCAGTTGGAATTTTTAAAGAATGATAGATTTAGTAGCTTAAGCATTTTGTCAAAATAAAATCTAAATGCTGTCATGAAGAATAACAGTGTTAGATTTTGTTCTTTGGAAATACTGAAGGTAAATAAATTTCCATGTCTCCTTTGATGGACACTTCCCCAAGGGGACTCGCCATATTTATTAATGGCTGAAGCTTCAAGGTCCTTTGGCATCTCATGTTATTTTTAGGTGATTCTATTTCTTTATCATTTAATTGTTTCAGCACAGAATTTGCCCGTGGGCCTTCTGAGTAGACAAAGCAGCTGGTACATGACAGGATGCCAGAGTTCACAGCAGCTTGTCACACTCCCTGCCAACTGGGCCACCAATGACGAACGCAACCCCAGTTTTCATGGACCCATTTCCTTAACCCCAGAAAATTGTCTTCATGCCTTTGAGCTGTCAAGAGGAAAGGAACATATGCACAATAACTTATATCTAATTTGTCATCTCTTTAATGCATGTGTCATGTTGTTTTAAGGTCACATAAATTAAAAAATACATATTTTAGCAGCATATGAAAATAAAGCATGGACTTAAGGAGCTGTGTGAAAAACAATCCAAATTTTAAGGGGATAAAAATGGACATTTCATTTAATAATTTCTGTAACAATGAAAAGTTATGATAAATTGAGAAAAATGCTATATTTGTGCATTAAAAAGGAATCAATACGTAGAAGCTATAGAACAAAGCAAAAATTTGATGGGAATTTATATTGTCATATTCATCTTCATAATTAAATCAAAGATGACCACTTCTGACATCTTAAAACATGTTAAAAACCATATATATGGGGGCCTCCCCAGTGGCGGAGCGGTTTTAGCGCTGTGCTGTGAAGCTGTCCCAAGCCTCTGCAGTTCAGGTTCAATTCCCGGCCAGGGAGCAACCCACATGGTGCAGCAGACCTCTCCTGTCTCACCCACTGGTCCCCTCAGCAGTGCTTTCGGTCCATCTGCCTGTTCGGCTCCCCACTCTGTCTCTGGTGAATTCTCTCACCCCCAGCACCTCTGACCTATACCCCAGTTCTTGTATAAATAAATAAATTTTAAAAAAAGAGTTTAAAAAATGCATATATGTGTGTGTGTATATAGATATATAAAATACGTCATTCATCCTTAAAGATTAAAGTTCTAAATCTCTCAATCATTTTTTCAATGTTATAGATCTAAATGGCATCTAAATATATCCTGTTTTTTTCTTAGTATGAAGTAAAGCAGGAATGTAACTGGAAAATAATATATTTCATAGAAAAGGTCACACTGTACTCACTATACATGGGTAAAACAAAAAATTAAATTTGAGAAACATAGTAATAAAGCAAACTTTAGAATTTGAGTGATGTAGAAATAAAAAAAGGGGGAAGGACAATAAGTAAATGACTAGAAAATAAAATAAAAATTGAAGTCAATGAATAGCACATGACTATACTTATTAATGCTTTTCAAAATATTATCACTGTTTGGCTTAAGCTATTAAAAGTATAATACACTCATTTAATCATAGAGTAAAGCCTCCAGATACTTTTTATAAGAAATACAGCTAATCCAAAATGGCAAAAAAATAAAAATAATGATGTAATAAATGTGACACAACAGGTAGAGAAAGAGCAACCAAGTGAGCGATGATAAAAACCAAAAGAGTAATCATTCAATCGCCAAGGCCGCATCTGATAAAAGCCACATAGTCATAAACATCTACATTCTGAATAATATAAGATCAAAATGAAAGGTTTATGTGACTTGACCTAGATCTCGGCATGTATACATTGTACTAACTGCACCACCTTTCTTATTTTTAGGTTTATTTTATTTATGCATACAAGATCTGGAGTGTAGGCCAGAGATGGGGAAGGTGGTGAGAGGATTCACCAGAGACAGAGTGGGGAGCAGAACAGGTGGATCTACTGAAACATAACTGCTGAGGGGAGCAGCGGTTGAGTCAGGAGAGGTCTGCTGCACTGTGAGGGTCAGCTCCCTGGCCGGGAATCGAACTCCTGCTGCAGTGGCCGCTGATAGCTTGACAGCGCAGAGATTTAACCCCTGGCACCATAGGGAGGCCCTGATGCCACCTCTCTTACAGCTAAACCTCTATGTTCTTTCCATGCTGATAAGTTTTCAAAAATGACTGAAGCTGGTCACCTCACAGTATACAAATGCCATTTACATGGTCTCACATATGCATCACTTTGAGGCTTTGTGTTTTGCGAATCCAGCACCCTGATAATCTTCAGAGATTGCAAAGATTGTTGTTTCTAGTGCGCTGAGTGCTCTCATGAATAAGCAGCTTTGAGATGCTTCTGCTGCTCCTCCCCCAGTCCCGTCCCCTCCTGGCCCCCTGCAAGACTTCAAGGAGATCCCACTGCTCCCCTCCCTAAGCTCCAGTGACCAGGTACGCGTGGGCTATGACAAAGCTCATGTTTTAATACCATCACTGCTCCCTCTGGGATGCCCTGACGCCATGAAGAGGACTTGGGATGAATCCCTCTATCCCATCACAGCTAGTGAAGGAGGAACTAGGAACCAGCTTATTATGACTGTTGGTTCTGCGCTGTTCTTGCATCTATGAATTTAAGGCTCCTTACCTTAACCAGAAGGCCAAAGATGAGCCTGCAAGCTGGGGAGAAAGGTCACCCTCCCTGGGTCTCCCCCGCAAAGTGACCTTCTGTGTTCAGTACATCAAAAAAGCAAAGCAAAACAAAGAACCAAACAAACCATCTCCAGAATGTTCCAAAAACATCTCCAGAATGTTCCAACAGGTCACTCTCAGCCTCTAAAACAGCAAACCCCCATCCAGACTATGCACTTGTTTAAGTTCATAGCATTTATTTTCAATGTTGTATGTTTATTGGTTTTAATTGTTTGATGTTCCTAATAGAATGTAAACTTCAGGAGGACAGAGATCACAGCCATTTGGCTTGCTACTCCCCAGCACCCTGGCACATAGCACAGGCTCAATAAATATTTGTGGGAGGGAAAGATAAAGACAAGGAAGGATGAAGGGAGAGAGATAGGGAGGGAGGGAAATAAAACAAAATTAAAGGGAATAGTAAATTTTTTTTCTAACTTTCTGGAACAAGAGGAAATTTTATGCTTCCACATAAAAGCTAATGATCCTTATTTTTTCCATAATATTTTCCTATCTTTTTATTTATACAATTAGATTTGTTTCACATTTGAATATCTTTCTGACTATGCCTCTAAAAAGAAATCAAAACTAAATTACTTCTATAGTAGAGATATAGCTACTCTTACTGAGCAATCAGTTTCTATTTACACCTCTCATCTATAATGGCAAAAAGTATTTTGCAAAAGGAAATTAACTTGAAACACCATAATTATTGGTATTTTTCTTCCAGATGTTTAAACAACCACTAAGATATCCTTTTCTAATAGATTCTCTTAATCTCAAATACCTCAGGTTAGCTGTGTTTGTGGCACATAAATTTATACAAAATCATATTGACTCTATAAAGGATTAGTAAGGCACATGACATGTGGCAGGTAACCTTCAATGCAGTTTGCTAGTTATATGTGAAATATGATAAACTTCAGTTTTTATGTAGAGAGAAGTTAAACCATTGTGCCTTAGGTATCAGACAATAGGAGGACATTATTATAGCAGCTCTTTTATCAAAAGGTATCCAGATAGTTTATGAATTACTAATTAGCCTTCTCAATATATTAAATAAACAATACATTAAATAACAAATAATTTACTCCTATACAATGCATGTTAAGACATTTTTCTTTAATGAATGCTATTTACCTGGTCTGTGTTAACTAAACACCAAGTCATCTATTCATCAGGTAAAGTCCTTTTAATCCACATATCTACCTAAAATACTCCTTTAAGTTAATATCTGATAAAGAAAACAAAATGTTAAAAAATGCTGGCATAATGATTTTGTCCACATCATGGGAAATGGAGGGGAATCCATGCTTCTGATGAAGAACTCCAGTCCCCTTGCTGTCTTGACTTCAGCCTTGGAGTCCCTGAGCAATGAACTTAGCTTGACTGTGGCTGGATACTGACATTCAGAAATGTGGAGTAACAAGGGGGTGCTACGTTAAGTCACTATGTTGTAATTTCTTATGCAGCAAAAAAATAGCTAGTAGAGATCCCCAGCCGTATAACTAAGACTGAATTGTGTAGACAGGCTGAACCTTAGGAAGTTTCTGTGTTTGACCATTTTTGACATGCAAAATAATGACAGTGTCATACCATCCAGAGTCCGATGCCTACTGGTTAATTCTTTGTGGGTATAGGACTGAGGCTTTCAGCAGCTAGAGATGCCTACAATGCTGCCGTGTGACTCTCCATGGTTGGGTCACAGGGACTGCATGTCTGTGGTTCCAGAGGGAGAATCTCTCACTTCTATACCCCACCTCTGAGTGGCTAACATTTCTCCTCTTCTGACCTCATAAATGATTGCTGCTTCTCTTTCCTAGTCCATGTTTTAAAAGTTTTTTTTTTTTTTTTTTTTTTTTTTTTTTTAGTTTAGGGGCTCCCTGGTGGTGCAAGAGGTTAAGCACAGCACTGTGAAGCTATCCTCAGTCTCTGCAGCATGAGTTCGATCTCCGGCCAGGGAGCTGACCCACATGGTGCAACAGACCTCTCCTGTCTCGCCCGCTGCTCCCCTCAGCAGTGTATTTCAGTCAGTCTGCCTGTTCTGCTCCCCACTCTGTCTCTGGTGAATACTCTCACCACCCCCACCTCTGGACTGTACCCCAGTTCTTGTATGCATAAATAAAGAAATCTTTAAAAAAGTTTTTTAGTTTAATTTTTTAATAAATTAACTAATGATTAATTGAGGTAATATTTGGATACCCTCATCAGTTCTAGTCCCTTTTTAATCTTCTTACGTCAAAGACAGATTTTTGACACCGGACTTGCACACTAGCCCCTGCTACCAGACAGTGTCCAATTCAGAGTTGAATTTGGCTTCCTGAATTCTTCCTTAAACTCATTAAGCAAAAAATCCGAGTCCTAGAAATGTTCTCCTTAATCTCCTATGTAGTCACCCCCAAGTTTCTTCTGGGATATGTTCTCCATTTCTTCAGCACAATCAATGAACATAACTTTGGCAATAGGAGTACTCCTGGGGGACTTTGTTTATTGACTCTGGAGGACACAGAAGGAATTTTTCAATTATAAGTTATAACCACCCTCACACCCCTGTCTACTTTCCTTTTCTATACTGGAAATCATTGTTAATATTGAAAGAGAATACCAATGGAAAAAATGTTTCTTTTTTTTTTTGTTTTTTGTTTGTTTGTTTGTTTGTTTAATTTTGTTTTCAGGGAGGCAGAAGAGCTGGTAGATTCATAGATCTACAGAAATAGTGAGGTATTCAAGAAAATTCTTCCTCTATCCAAAATCCATCTTTCTATCCTGTCATAGATATAGATCTTAAGACATTCTCCCACCAAAAGTATACCCTTCTATAAACTCATCAAGTACTTTTTTTTGTTGTTGTGTGATGACATTGCTATGCACATTTTCTAATTTGCTAGCTCATTACCAATTCTTGATATTTTAAATCTCTGTTTAAAGCTCAATTTAACTTTCATTTCTTCTGGGAAACTGTCTCCAGTTCCAATATTCCGCATGAACCACCTTCTCTTACAAATTCCCATAACCTTTGAACTTGTGTTAAACTTAATTGTGTGTAGATTAGTCTTTCCTCTGCATGAGGATCCTTCTGAGTTTTCTGAATCTTCTTCTTAAAATTCTTTTTTTTTTTAAAGATTTATTTATTTATTTATTTATTTACACAAGCACTGGGTACAGTCAGAAGCGCGGGAGGGTGAGAGAATTCACCAGAGCCAGAGCAGGGAGCAGAGCAGGCAGAAGGACCGAAGTACACTGCTGAGGGGAGCAGCGGGCGGCAGGAGAGGTCTGCGCGCCATGCGGGACCCTCCTCCAGTGGCTGGGGAGCAGCCGGGGATCGAACCAGCACTGCAGAGGCTGTGGGCAGCTTCGCAACCCAGCGCTCAACCGCTGCGCCACTGGGGAGTCCCCTTTTTAAAATTCTTAATGCCTAGTGCCATTTCTTGAAAACAAGTCTGCTCAATACATATATGATTATCTTCAGAAGCATTGACCCATGTAACCATATTCTCAAGCTCAAGTTAATAATGTAGAACTTCAAATTAGTATTCTAACATAGCTATTTACATCTAACTTGAAAACCAGAGGTGGTATTTCTCAAACCATTTTTGATTGACAAAGATCTCTGAGGAGATGAAATTATAGAATCAAAGTTGAACATTGAGCACCAAGTAACAAAGGAGATAGAATTTTCTGGAACAGCAGTTTCAATAAGTCACATGGTATTCTAATGTACAGTCTTTTCCCACTCAGGGATACTGCAACTGTTATAGTCAGTTAACACAGACTGTTTCCTGTGAAAATTAGGACAGCAATAATGTTCCTTCTCTTTTGTGTCCCCCCTCTCTCAAGGTTTGAGTATATTAAGATGATCCACATAAAATTTCCATTTTCTTGGCCAAAAATTATCAAATAGCATCAATGCCATATAGTTCAAACCAATAAACTGTGCTGTGGCCATTGATTAGGTTTCATCCTCCTTGTGTCTCACTTTACAATTTTTTTTTTTAAAGATTTTTATTTATTTATTTATTTATACAAGCACTGGGTACAGTCAGAAGCGCGGGAGGGTGAGAGAATTCACCAGAGCCAGAGCGGGGAGCAGAGCAGGCAGAAGGACCAAGGTACACTGCTGAGGGGCACAGTGGGCGGCAGGAGAGGTCTGCGCGCCATGTGGGACCCTCCTCTGGTGGCCGGGGAGCAGCTGGGGATCGAACCGGTGTTGCAGAGGCTGCGGGAAGCTTCGCAACCCAGCGCTCAACTGCTGCGCCACCGGGGAGGCCCTCACTTTACTTTCAATGAAGTGCTCTGATGAAGGTTGAACTTGTCTGGTTCTCATTTCCTTAGCAACAGATATACACAACAGTGCATAAGGAGAATTCTTCTTGCAGATGGTGAATCTTAACCATTTGCTATTTATTTTTACTGGTTTTAAACTGAGATTGAAATTTTCTTCTTGACCTTGGCCTTCATCGTATAAAGAAGACTAAAACAAACATCTGGCTAGAATATAGCTACCATCTTTACAGATTTTCCTATCACTTCTGAAACATGAACTTATCATTAAAGTTCAGAAATTTTACCATAAAGCAAAATGAACTTTGTTGCAGTAAATCCATTGTAGATTACTGCTAACAGAGTAACTTCCTAAAGTATAAAATCAAATTTGTTTTGATTAAGAATCATTTGAGAAATATGGTGGTATCACAGCATGGATACTAAGATAGCTTTCAGTGTATTAATCTAATGTCGCTGATGATATGAAGAGTTAACATATTTTTCTAATAATAATTATATTTCCTAATAAGTAATACAATTTAGGTGCTGCAGATCTTACTTCCAAATTTTATCACCTGGGGAATATTACTACCTCGGAAATTGATTGTCATCTAAAAAATCAACACCTTGGTGTGTTAACATTTACAGATTTGCTTTTCAAAAAATATATTTCTCTCTTTTCTAGATATCCTTGGCTTGGGAATTTCATTAGTAAAAAGTAAAATTGAAGGTGACAGCAAAGTTTTTTATAAGCAACTGAGTTGGTTGAAAGAATACATTCTAAGTCATCATGTTGATAGCAAAACATGAATATACATTGCAACAATAAAAGATGAAATTTCTAATTACCATGTAAACACAGGGGCTGCCAACATATCCCAGCTGCCCACACACAGCACATCGGCAATTTTTTTTTTTTTAGTTTCATATATTTAAGGTGTTTGGGAGAGTGTGTTAGATTTTTTTAACAAATATTTTAAGGAATAGTTTAAGGTCTGCATAACACAAAGATAGTCCCCACCTACCACACATCCAGCTTTCCCTTTAACGCAACATCATAACAATACTAAATATTACATTGGTATTAAATATTGATACAAGTAATGAAACAATGTTCATACTTACTCACTTAAGTCCATCCTTTACTCAGATTTCCTTGGAGTTTACCTTATGTCCTTTCGCTGTTTCTCAGGACAACATGCAATTTAGTCACTATGATCCCGCCTTCTTATGATTTCGTTCTTGTGTGAGGATCAGGGCAAGAATGTCCTCTCTCACTGTTGCTAGGCAGCAGTATACAGAAGTTCTAGCCAGCATAATAAGTGCCACCCTAACCCATCAAGGAAACATAAAGATGGGAGATATATCTTATGCAGATAAGAGATAAGTAACTAAAAGTATCTCTATATGTGCAGATAACTTGAAAGCTTGTGTAGAACACCCCAAGAAACCCACAAATTTTTTCTAGGACTAACAAGTGTATTCAGTGAGTACACAAGAAACAATAGAAAACTCAGCTGCATTCCTACATTCTAACAACAACTATATGGAAATGCAAATTTAAAATATATTTTTAATAGCTCAATAACCAAGATGCTGTGATCCAAATCTAATAAAACAAGTACAGACTTCTATGCTGGAGACAACAGAGTGTTGTTGGAAGAAATCAAATAAGTCTGAGTGTATGAAAGACATTTCATTCCCATGGATTGGAAGACTGAACACAGTCATTTCTGCCCAAATTGATATAATGATTAATGAAATTCCTACCAAATCTCAGCGAGACATTTTGAAAGTATAAATGACATTATTGTAAAATTCATACAGAAAAGTAAATTAACTAGGACAGCTAAAATAATTCTGAAAATAAGAAGAAAATACAAGAAAACATTCTTTTTGAACTGAAGATATCTTGTAGCCACATCCATCAAAACTATGTAGTATTTGTGGACAGAAGGATGCATTGATCAAGAGAACATAAAAGGGATTCCAAAGATAAATTCAGAAAGATATACCTGATAAACATTCCCCCTAGAGTAAAAGCAATCCACCGAGGATGAATGACCTTCCCCACATATGATGGTAGAGCAATTAAGCAGACAAAAAGTGGGCCTCATATACCTTACACACAAATTCTAAACACATTTCATACACATTCAGTTTAAAATGTATTATGGACATAAATGCAAAATATAAACTATACAACTCTAAGAAGATTACAGAAAAGAGAATTTTCTGGTTCTAGGATAAGATGTTAGGTGCTGAGATGTGATCCAAAGGTACAATCCACAGAGAAATGTTGTCAGTGAATGAGACTTCATCAGAATTAAAACATTTACTCTGTGAAAACCCCTGTTAACAGACTTAAAAGACACATGTAGCTGGGAAGAAAATATATTTGCCAATCACACGTTGGCAAAGATCTTATGCCTAGAATATGTAAGGAAGTCTCAAACTCAATAAAAAAAAGTTCATATATATATAGTATTTATCAATTAATTCAATAAACAATATTAAATGCCTCATCTATGAGTGCTATTTTAAAGGTCAGAAATCCACTGGTGAATAAAAGCAAAGTCTTCATTCTCAGGGACTTATGTTCTAGTTGGGGACATAAAATGGACATTTAGACCCACATGTGATTTATCAGGTTATGGAGGCAGAGAGAGCCAATAGAGAATGGTGAGGCTTAGGGAGAAGTTCATATCCAGTGTGATCAGGGCACCCTCTGATAGGGGGCAATCGGGGCAACACCGGATGTATGGACATTTGTCAGGAAGATAACCAGGGAGAAAGTGCTTTAGGAAGATGTAAAAAGTTCCTGAGTTTAGACACAAGTTCAATGAAGAGAAGAGCAATAGTTGAGCCATGAATAGTCAGAGAATGGTGGGAACTAGAATTATGGTAATGAAAAGCAAGTCATGTACGTTGTAAGAACTTTGTGTTTTACACCAAGCTGGATATCCCTTGGGGAAAGAGGGCTGGGCCAAGTTAAATTATCTGATTAAAGATTCAGGAGTATCACTTGGATTTATTACACTAGAATGCAGAGGGCCTAGGATGAATGTCATAACCCATGAAATCTCTTGCTACCCACAGACATGCCTAGTCATTTTCTGTGGATGAAAGTACACAATTTGACTTTTCAGAGTCTTCAAAAATCCATTATTATAAAAGTTGTTTATTTTGAAATGTCAACATTTGTATCATTAAGACCTTTGGTAGAAAGTTCCTTCACAAAATATTATTCTGCATAAATAGTTCTAATCTCTACAGATTCACCCATTCATTTTCCAACAGGTTTCATTCATTCATTCACATAGATAGAGAGATATAAATACATATATATGTATATAGTATCTATCCTCCCTTTTAATTTATTTTTTTAAGATTTATTTATTTATGCCTGCAAGAACTGGGGTACAGGCCAGAGGTGCAGGGAGGGGGGGGGTGAGAGGATTCACCAGCGGTTGAGTGGGAAGCAGAACAGGCAGATCTACTGAAACACACTGCTGAGGGGAGACAGCAGGCAAGTCAGGAGAGGTCTGCTCCGCCATATGGGTCACCTCCCTGGCTGGGGATCGAACTTGTGCTGCAGTGGCTGCGGATAGCTTCATAGTGATGCCACTTAACCCCTTGTACCATCCGGAAGGCCCCTCCCTTTTACTTTAATTCTTTTCTTTCTCTATTCATTATTTTTATATTTTGGAGGAAAAAAAAACTGATGCCTGTTCTGTAAATAGAAATGAGTAAGAAGTAAAGATATAAATAAAAATGAATAAGAAAATATTTCAGTTCTCCATTTCCTTCACTAGGTAATAGAGTTGACTGACATGATGTGTTACCAAGAAAGGGTAGGGGATAAGGCTCTGTGAGAGAAACAGGCATAATTTGTAGTGAAAGGAATAAAAGGTGAGTTCCAAAGTTACACTTGAAGGATGTGGAAGGGTATGCAGGTGTTTGCAGAGTAACCAGAGAACATTCTTGGGTTATATATAGAGAACAGCCAGTACCCAGGTAAGAAAGTGTGAAAGATCATTACAGTAGTGGATGCTTGATTTGATTGATGCATTATTGTATAAATAAGAACTTTCAATTGTCCTTTTGTTCATACCTCTCATTGAATTTTGACCTCAGTATGTCCACTTTCTTGTAACTAGCAGTGGTTGAATATGCCTTGGAGTCATTACACTAAACAGGAATTTCTAAAGGAGGCTACAAAGAGGGAAAGAGAAGTTGATGCTCAGAAAAGTCTGAGCTTCATACTATTAGAGATGGGGAAATGTGGTAATTTAATAGCAGTAGAAGTCACCATGATCATATTTACCACAAATGTTTGGTTCCAGGAGCAGAGCAGGAAACAAATTGCAGAGGTATCAAGCCTGAGACCAAGAAAACCACTTCCTACATCACCACTTCATTCACCATGCTCAGGTTATCTGCGTCAAACTAGAATCAGTCATCTCACAAATCCCCAAGTCAATATGAATGTGAACAGTGTCGTTCATCTCCATGAAGCCATGGGCGCATCTGGTGGTGCAGGCATCATAGTTCATGAGATGAGGGATTATATCTGAACTCACAAAGATCTTTCTCACACTGTCCAACTCGTACTTTACTTTTCCAGGTGCAATATGATGAATTGCAAAGAAGCTCTGGGTGTCATAGATCAGATAAAAATTCTCTCTGATCTTGTCAATACTGATAGCCATAAAACCATCAGGTGGGTATCATCTGGTCTTGCCATCAATCTTCATGAGACACTGAATGTAGTAGGTCTTCTATACTTTACGTCCTGTCAGGACATACTTAAGTCTGTTCCTTAGGAAATTGATAAAGGGAGACACTTTTGGGGACTGGAAGCTGGAGGAAAAACACCGGTCATTCATTCATTCACATAGATAGATAGATATAAATACATATATATATGTATATAGTATCTATCCTCCCTTTTAATTTATTTTTTTAAGATTTATTTATTTATTCCTGCAAGAACTGGGGTACAGGCCAGAGGTGCAGGGAGGCGGGGTGAGAGGATTCACCAGCGGTTGAGTGGGGAGCAGAACAGGCAGATCTACTGAAACACACTGCAGGTGTGTTTGGAGTTTTTTTGGAGCAGCAGCAGGTGTTTTGAGTTGCTACGCACCACAAATATTCCTTGGCACCAGGAGTCAGGAATGTGCGCGCGCGCACATTCACCTTTGCATGTTTTTTTGATAAAATGACAATTTTATCTGTCTTATACTTATTCTGGATGACAATATTGACTTAAAATATTAAGTATAATTTTCACTGAGGCTAAAGATAAAATAAAAGACACCTTGGTGATACATATGGGATTGATTACTAATCTTTGACTTGAACACAACAGAAACTCTAGCTCAATTTTTCAAAGGAGCAATTTACTGGAAAGATGTGGAGAAAATTCACAGAATCAAAGGAAACAGTAGTTGGACCCAGACAGAAAGGACAAGCGCTTGAATCTCACCCAAAGCCCAGGTAGCAAAAATTCAGGGACAATCAGTTATGGTCTTCAATTTGGGGGGTGGGTGGGTACTGCTTTCATGCATTTCTGACTCATCCATGAGCTGCTTATGTCAAGATTCAAACTGTCAGGGAAGAGAGTGGCGAATTGAGCTATTCACGGCCCCCTGGCTGATTGGACTCTCGGCTGCTCCTACTAGTAGGCCCCAACACTGCATGCAGCAGAAGAAAGGAGTCCTGGGCAGCTCTGGGTGCCGTGCGGGACTCTTTTTAACTACACTGAACTGCCATTTCATTGCCTTTTGATTGTCAGTCAGTTTAGATGTCCCAAATGGAGTCTATTATTCAGTCAAGATCATTTTGACTATTTAGTTTTATCGCATACTTATTTTCTCCCACAACCAGTTGCTAAAACCTGTAAGAATTTAATGAACTGACAAATAAAATAAAAGTTTACTTCATAAATGTTTTAATCAAATTATTTATTACATGCCCATTTTAAACAAGCAATGCATCATATCAGCAGGCACAGACTTGTTAATTTCAACATACAAATAACTTATCCAGGTAATAAGCTGAACGATTTACAAATCAATAATATTAACTAGATGTGCCTTATAATTCATCCTATTCTACAGTTGAAACAGTTTCAAGTGTTGCTTTATTTAGCAGTAAAGTGGAATATATGCTTTTGTGGTGGTGGAGTTTAGCTAGTCATCACATGAACTAGTTTTCCATTCTTGACCACAGACATAGGCAACATTTCCCAGCCT